GTGAGAAATGCATTAAATGCGGAATTGAAAATCATATAGCGATGGACGGTTGTAAAACGGTAACATATAAAGTTATTGACAATTTGATATTAACTTTGGGCAACAAAAAAATAAGGTAAAACAATTATCTTCGGCAAACGATTCATTTAATTTGAAGACTAACGAATTACCAGTCCGGTTGGTAGGCGAAAGTACGAAGGCAGCAGGTGCTCACCCTTTGGACGGCTTTTGGGTTGCTAATAAATGATCCGCGATTCTTAGCAGCGCTCAAGAGCCTATTGCTTTACTTCAACTACGACGGACAGTGGTTGTCCCACTTAGAGTTAGAAATATTTAGGCGCACTCATTTCACCGCGATATTTGTGTATGTATTTATGTATTCATGAATTTAATGCCCTTCAAAAATAATAAAGCGATAAAATCACTCAGCAGAATTCCACAGACAAAAGCGCTTCCGTTGGATCCGCACCAGTGGAACAATTTTAAATATTTTTCACACGCTGTTTCGGGGCTCCAGGCCCACTGTGCTCCGAAATATTTTCGAAAATTCTTTTATGTCACTCTTTACACTTGCTAAATCCAAAAAGGACCGACCATGGCCAAACTCGACCAATTGTCTCGGTTCTCTTTCTTCTACCTTATCCACTAATTTCCTCCGCCATTTCCTTGTGCGTTTCTTCCAGCTTGCGGATTACCCTTTTGCTTGCACTTAGCCTAAACTTAATTATCAAAACTAACAAAATATTCCCGTCGCAGCATATCAATCACTTTTCCTCTTGGTCCTTCTGTCTTCTATCTTTTTTCCCTCCTCTTTTCGAGCTAAAAGCGCGATGAACACGGTCCGGCCACCAAATATCATTTGCACAACCACCCAGACTCTGAATTAATTTTCTTATTCGCCTTAAACTGCATTCAGCGCTTCTACGCTGAGCTGAATTTTTTTTCCTTTTGATTTTCGCCTTCCTCCAGCAACCTTCTTACGGCACCCACCCTTTTTTTTAAACTCCTCCGACAGATGCCGCTGTTGCCTCTTTCACTCAGAAAGCTACTCCCCCGCCTTTCTACTTCTACTCTTTACTTCAGTACGGGGAACAACATGTAGATGGCATTTATGTTAATTTGGGTGTTTTTCCAATCTAACGTTTATTTATGTACGTCGAATATAAAAAAAAAAACCTTGGGGAACGGTAAAATACTAAAATTTCTAATTAGACACTGGTTCTAACCACAACTACATCCAGCTGACTACAGACGCATCCAGCAATTGGTGCAGTGTTAGAACCAAATCATACACCAATAACATTTATTTCGCGTACCCTATCGAAAACTGAAGAAAATTATGCTACAAACGAAAGGAAGATGCCCCCAATCGTTTGGGCCCTCCAAAGTTTATGACATTATCTTTATGGATATTCAAAAGTAGTAATATACACCGATCATCAGCCCTTGAGTTTTTCAAATAGCGTAAATAACTATAACGCAAAGCTAAAACACTGGAGATATCTCATTGGTGAATATAACCACTAAATCATGTACAAGCCCGGAGTTGCTAATGTAGTAGCAGATGCATTGTCTCGAACCCTCCCAGAAATCAATTCAATAAGTTCAAGAAACAGTCCATAGTTATGAAAGCTCATCACACATCTCATATTTTCAGTAGAAGCACCCATTAACGTATTCAAAAACCAACATTATTTAATGACCACAGACACAGATTCTTATAATTTTGAAATTCAATTTCCAACATATCACAGGCATATCATAAAAATGAAATTCTACACGGAGAAAAAATTCATTGCAATCTTGTCAAACAGACTCGACCCTAAACTCATACACGGAATTTTCATATCTGAAGAGGTTATGGGTAAAATACAAAATACTTAGCCTACATATTTTAAATCATATAAAAGAAAATTTACACAAAATGAAGTAGAAGTTCAGAACTACAGCAAAATAAAATGATAACTCTAGAACATAACAGAGTACATAGAGATGCAAAAGAAAATAATACACAAATTTTGAAGAACTATTTTTACCGCAGGCCCAAAAAAAAATTCAAGCCATAGTTCAACTCTGTCAAACTTGTAAAGAATCAAAGTACGACAGACACCCCCCAAAAGGAGAAGTTCAACCAACCCCAATCCCAAATTACCCAGGAGAAATTATTCATTACATTACAGGAAAACAAATTGTATTAACAGGTATCGATAAATTTTCCAAATATGCACAAGTAAAAATTTTAGAGTCAATAGCATCTAAGTCAATAAAAAATCCACTAAGAAAAATGCTTACTGCTTTCGGTATGCCGAAATTAAATGTAATGGATAACGAACGAGTCCTTAGCTCTGCTGCAATTAGGTTCATGCTAGAAGACCAACTTAAGATATCAGTACATACCACAGCCCCGTATTCATCGACGAGTAATGGACAAATAGAAAGATTCCATTCAACATTAACCGAAATTATGCGATGTCTTAAAAAAGACAACGAGAGTATGACATTTGCAGACTTACTTTTTAAATCAGTTCAGGAATATAATAAATCTATACACTCAGTAACGAAAGACATACCTGTAGAAATATTCTTCAGAAGCACAATTCCAAGTTCAATAAAAGACATTCAAGAAAAGAAGGAAAAAATCAAACAGAATATAAAAACAAAACAAGTTACAGATCTAGAATACCGCAATCAAAATAGGAAACAACCGATTCACCAGACGACACAGTACTTGTTAAAATAAATAAAAGACTAGGAACAAAACTTACACCCAGATACAAATCAGAGAAAGTAGCAGAGAATAAAAGCACCACTATTAAAACACAAACCGGAAAAATCATTCATAAAAATAATATAAGAACATAAATTTTAGACTATTTTTACCAACATGCTTGGGGACAACCATGGTCCTGGATTATTCCAATTCGCAAATCATCTCACTTGAAACAGGACTGGCAGCTAAACAAGACGGAACATTTAAAATCATCCACATTTTTAACTTACAGAACTACGAAGAAACACTTTCGGAATTGGAAGAATCACTTTATAAAATCATATCATCTCACCCATTACTCCCATATCTTTCTTACGAACTAAGACAGCTACATACTGATTTACGCAGATTACAAACTCGTAAAAGACAAAAAAGGGCAATAGAAGCAATAGGTACTCTGTGAAAATGGCTGGCAGAAACGCCAGATCATCACGATTAAGAAACTTTAGAAAACAAGATAAATTAACAATTAGAAAACAATAATAGCCAACTAGTGATCAATAGATTAATTAATAAAAAAACAACCAAGTTACTAACGTCACTAATGCAATGCTAAAAGTCGCTCAGAGCTCAGAAGAAATTCAGAATCAGAAAGCAAGTATCCTAAGATATAGAATACAATTAATAAAAGAAGAAATAAATAATATAATTAACGCAATTACATGTTCGAAATCAAACACATTGAATTTATTTGTATTTACAACCACAGAAACCACAATAGAAAATATCTTCAGAAAAGAAAATAATAACGTTGAAGAATTACTATAGTTTGCTTAGGTGAAATTAGCCATAAATGGTAACGACCTCCTTTACCTTGCTAGCTTACCAACCATAAAAACAGACTACTGCAGAACACTAAAAATTAAAGCAATAAAGTAAAGTTAGATTTAAGTAATAATACTTGTAAAAATGCACTACTAAATTAAAGAGAATGTAAGATAATTAACAATCAGCACATACCAGATTTTGAGGAGATACTGCCAGGCACCATACTACTGATCGATTTTAATGGTCAGTATTGCTGGATGGAAAGGAGCTAAAACTACATGGCTCTTTTATCATACAATACCGAAATTCAACGGTTACTATTGGCGAGGTGACGTACAAATCAAGAGAAATCATCATAGCCGAACCAGAACCTCCAGTTTTCCAACTCATGGATGAAAAAACTAAACTTGAAGAAGTTCTCTCACTTCGAATGGTCAAAGAATTAAACACCAACAACACAAGAGTGATCGAGAAACTAAGAAGCAAAGCAACAATATCAGCTTCTGTTAGCTATGGATCTACCATCATTCTCCTGGTCTTAATAATAGGCATGGCCACAGAACTCCTACGAAAACGTAAACAGACGGAAAAAACAACCGCCCCGTTCCGGAAATGCAAGAAAAGCCTACACAACCCGGACCGGTATTTTTTTACGTTGCGACCGGGGACTGTCGCGTTTAAGAAGGGAAGAGTTAACAACCTAGTTTCTAAAACCGTTGACAAAGAAGATGCAAGCTCAGTACATATGGCGCAACCGGGTGAAGAAATCAGAACTTCAATTTACTATCAACTCGGGAAACTTCCGGATTAGTGTTCAAACGATCGCTACCCAAAAAGATGCAAGCTCAGCGCACGTGGCTTAACTTATTTAGGGCATCTGCCAATGTGGAAATCAATGCATTCACCAATGGTAATTAGAAGCGGCCAATAGTTACAAATCGTCATAAGCATCTGATGAGAACAAAGGTCAGCGTAAAAACAAAGAACGTCAGCGGAAGCAACGACAGCGGCAGAGACGGTAACAGCGATGGAGCAACAAGTAGCCTTTATAAACGATTGTTAAGCTTAAGCAAATTCTGGTTTTAATAATTTTTTTTTTCAATTAAAAAAAAAAACGAATAATCTTTAACTTATATGATATATATACGATTAAGAGGATATAGAAGAATAACTGTAATGTTTAATTTAGATAGCTTTAATACTGAGAGACTAGTTTGAGTAGAAACGGACAGACGGACAGACAGAGATGACTAGATCGATAGATATATAAACTTTATATGGTCGGAGGTGACTCCTTCCCTGCGTTGCAAACTTCTTGCTGAAATTATAATACCCTGCAAGTGTTTAAAAATACTTACCTCATTGTATCTTGGACTTGAAATAAAATGTTGTCCCTTAACTGGATTGCGATAATAACTTCACTCCATGCTTGAGTAAGGCGCCTTTGTTCACTTTGCAATACTTCCAGATCTATATTGGCGTCAAATATAGTCATATTTAAAATATTGACAATATCTTTCATAGTGCTTTCTTCTTCGTAAATTGAGTTCAGTTCGGATTCTCGTTTTTTAACTTCCATATCTAGCCGGAAAAACAGTATATCAGATTTTCGTTTTTCCCGAGATAATTGCTTTTGCAGCAGTGCATCTCTGCTAACGATGCGTTTAGCATTCTCTATTTCATCTTCTACGTCATAAGTCCATTTTTTAATATTACTACTTAAACTTTGCGTATCTTTGAGTTCTACCATTCGCTCATAATATAAGTTTTTTTTGGTTTTGGTAAGTATAACTCTTTCTTCATATTTTCTCTTTAAGGAGTTAAGTTCAACTTCTTCGTTTTGACGATTTTGCAAGTGCTTCTCAATTACCACTGATATTTCCCTTATTTGTTCCTTTCGAAGTCCAATTTGTTGCTGCATGTTATACAAAGCCAAGCCTTCTTCGTCTAGTCGTTGCACTTTAAATTTTTCTTGGTATTGAATTTCTGAAATTTCATTTTCAAGTTCATGTTTAGTTCGTAATAGGTGATCCTTCAGTGAACTTTGGAATATGCCCAGGAGCGGATGATTCGGAGAAAGGAGAGCCAATTGGTCTGGTTCTGGAGGACGACCAGGATCAACATTCGAAAAATTTGCTAAATCGCAAGATCCGATATCTTCAGTCTTAAACATACTATTAATATACTTAAATGGTTCTGTCTTGAGTAAGTATATAATTAGAAATATATTTATTATTCTCACTACGGTGAATACACTCAAATGCTTTGTGACACCAAGCACGTGCTTATTCCTGTGAGTTGTTAGTATGCGGGATAGAAAATACAGAAAAGAGTACGAGGAAATGAGCTACGGTCGGCGTTTTGTAAAAAACTAGCCTTCATACAATTTGAAACGTGATTTTAATATGTCAGAAATGTTTGACAATAATAATAAGGCCTGTGGTTGCTATGGGAGATTTTAGTAACCTTCCCTACCATATTGCGATTTGTAAAAATATATACAGTTACTTTATTGTTTACAATACAATCATTTTAAACGTGCAAGCCCAATTTTATACACGCTCAAATTGGTTTCTTCTGACAACCGAAAATTTTAAAGGGTTAATGTACTCGTAGTTTAATTTTAAACAATACATCAAGCTTATCTTCGGGATGTGCTTTTTTTATGATACGAAAAATCTTGCAAGGTATTATATTTTTTTCGGTTTGCTTCTTTATAGATAAATCTACGCGATAAAAAAATATAAATAAATATCAACATAAAGAAGTTTTGATCGAATAACAAGTCGTTTTGTAAATACTTTTGACTACCTTGTATATATAGGAATAGGGTGGATCGTCCAAATACATACATACATATGCATGTATATCATATATCATATAGTTGCCATGGAAACGATCGATTTTTCGGAATTTTGATTTTAATGTTATGAAAATCGGACGACAATATTCAAATAACTGTCATACAAACGATCGTTAGATATAGAGAAAAATTCAACACAGTGAAAATAAAACTGTAAGTGTAAAACTGATAGAATAATATGTTTGGGTGCATGTAATGAAAGATACCAATACTTTGTTGTTTTTAAAACATAAATATATATATGTATATAATATATTTTGTATGAATTGCTAGTGGCTGAATTGGAATCAGCAAGGGTATACAAACTTCAGATTCCCAAAGTTAACTTTCTTTCTTAGTGATTGTGAATTAATATTTTCTTTTGTACCATTGCGATTCATTAACACACAGGTCGAGACTGTTGATGAGTCATCGATAAATGTCAATACAAATTACTGATAAATTGTATGTACAAGACTGTCATTAGCAACCAATTCATCAACAATTAATCTGATTCATAAACGTTTAATAATTAATCAAGGATTCATTAACAATTCATTAACATTTCGTAAAAAATTAATCAACATTTCATAAACTATTCATAATTCATTTTTTTAGACGTAACACATTTAATTCGCTGTTAATTGTATAATTTAGTTTGTAATATTTAATTTATACTTTTAGTTTTTCCTCACAACCTATTACATTACATTAGTTTATGTGTTATAATATATTATTTCTTTGTTAGTTAGCATAATTAATATATATTTATATTCAAATACGATGCCTCGTGCCACGTGGTTCACATGCGTCTGCGGTTGCCCTTGGCGACTGGCGCAAGAGTTCAGCTGGCTGCCTGTAGAGGGCGCAGCAGTAGGGCCACGGGGACACGCGAAAAAAAAACTGATATATTCGCAAACGCAGATAAGCTATCAACATCAAAAGTAGACAATAACCGAGCTGGAACCTCAACGCATGTTGTGTCAAAATTTGGGCTTAAACGGTTCAGAACTTTTCAAGTCTATAAAGGAAGTAGATATGAACAGAGCATTTTTATATATATAGATTCAAATATATATCATTGATTCATGTTCATATATTCTGTGTGAACATTTGATATTTAAATAAAATTTAGTTAAATGATTTTCTGAAAATAAACAATACCTTTATGGTGGTGTAGAAACGATTCAAAACAATATTTATTATGACCTTTATATTTTGTATTATTTGATACATATATATTACTAGGGAACCTGGCGATCTTCGTTTCGCCACCAGATGGCTTTTATGTAACATTTTGTTTGTTGATAAAAAAAATTACGAATTTTTTTATTTTTGTTTTATATTTGAAAAGTTATGGAACTTTTCCACTTGCGCACAATAATCCAGCCGATTCTCTTTTGAACTTCAATGCATTGCAATATCGGCGTCATTGGTCCAATATAAAAATTTTTATCATTGTAGTTCTCAGTGGGATCATATTGGAATGCCAATGGATTGTATGATGCCAATGATCTTCCTGTCCTCACACATTGTCTCAATAGGGCATTTTCTCTTATTGTATTTTGTCTTTCTCCTTTTGGACTATAACGTCAAATGCACGATCCACATAATTAACACATTTTAACTTACCACCTTAAAGACAAACCTACACTTTATTTATTTTATTTTTTCCAATTGAAATGTTAGGAAACGACTATTTGATATATTGGTTTGGTAGTAAATACTATATATCAGCGATTGATATCCCGCTTTTGTTGAACGGGAGAAAAAGTATCCTCCCTACCGATTTTTACCCAAATCTGTTCTGTCGTTCTTGAGTTATAAGTGGTGTAACAGACACGACTTTCTTTTATATATGTATATAGATATTATATTTGTAATATTGTGACATAAATACGAATAGGGTTGAAATTAATAATTGGAATTAAACACTTAATATAATTACTTTTTGTATTACATATAAAAATAACGGGGGGGGGGGGGAAACAAGGCATTCAAGCATTACAAAATGTAAACAAGCTAAAATCAAAACAAACAAATTAAAATGCATATGTATACAAATACAGTGAAATACATGTTTGATAACATGTTTGTGAATTAATATTTTCTTTTGTTGCTGTACCACTAATCAGCAAGTTATTAGCGATTTATCAACACACAGGTCGAGGCAGGTGATGAGTCATCGATGAATGTCAATACAAATTAAATCATCAGCAACAAATTAAATCATCAGCAACAAATTAATTTAACAAATAATCTATGATTCAAAAACGATTAACAATTTATCACCTGCTTGACATTCTTCTGTGCAGATCTGTGAGCCCTATTCTCCTCAGTGGTAAGGACTGCTCGTCGCTCAGCAACCTCGAAAATGTCTGTAAACCGGTTTTTGCAGTGCCAGAATTTAGTCGCTGGAAATTGCCGGACCAATTCATCTTGATGCGGCCGAGGCCGCCTGCCGCCAGGAAACATATGTTTCCTGTTCCCCCGAGAACTCGGGCAGACATTTGACCACGTCCAGCGGCTCGTTACAGACGACATCGCCTGTTATGTCTATAGGTTCGTAAACCTTTATTTGTGCGGGCGAAACCCGCGCCTCTGCCAACTGCCTAACCAGGTCGTCTATGGTTTTGCGCAGTTCGTTTCTCCTGCGCTGGTCTTTGCCAGTTTTTTCTTTAAGAGTGTTGGCCACAGCGGCCTGGATGACGGCTTGAAGTTGGTCCGCGTTTATTCCCATATTCGTATTTGAAGGGGCTCCAGTAGCTGCCTCTCACAGAGTCGCTATGTTGTGTTTTATTCCTATAAGTTAGGAATGAGGGGTTCATGGATAGCTACGCTAATTTCCACTAACAAAGAGTTGTATGCCTAAGCAGCCACAAAGAAGCAAAGCTAAACAGAATCGGGCTATGAATGCGCGGTGTCGGGTTCGAGCACCGGTATGAAATGGGGAAGTAATAAGAAACCCAAAAATTGAAATGCACACAATTTAATGAGACAGTGCCAATAAAATTAGCTAAATAAATTCACAATAATTTAATTCTTCCGCTTTGGTGCTGGCCTAGGGACTCAGATAGTTTACCAATTATAAGAGTTTAATGACGGATTATGAGAGCGATGGCTCTTTATTATTCAAATGTCAAAACAGAAATAAAGCTTAAAGCTAACATTAATGAAATTTATAGCGGCCACTGCAATGGTCAGTGTTTGCCAGCTTACCACGAGCTTCCGGCCAGACGCTGTGTCAGCCATGATACAATTATACAAGGTAGTCTCGTCGGCTGCCTAACCTTTCAGCTTTTTGTCAGTGCGTTCTCGTTTGTCAAAGGAAAAGGTTGTGTGCGGACGATTTTTTTTTACTATTAACCCTTGTGTGAGATGTCGTTCTGCAATTTCTGTCGGAAGCACGTGCATGGAGTAAAATTGATAAAAGCACCAAAATGTTTAACCAAGTAGACATTGTGGGAGGAAATTAAGGAGCTGGAAATTGTTTTTTTTAGATATAGTTTCTGATTATTTTAGTACTACAAAAAACGTTAAGGAGAAATAGGTTCTCAGAATATAAACATTAATTTAGATATAAAAAAATCTTACTTTGAGATTCGCATATATTTTAAAATTAAGAATTTAAACAAAAAAATAGGTATACAAAAACAAAAATAACGATTAATTTCAAATTCAAAACAAACAAATTCAAATTCAACTCTTTTTACTATATATGAACAATTTAACTCCCATGGACTATCTAAGGGTTAAACTAAAAGCTCTTTTGTCGTTTCACTCGCACTTACTTCGCAGACTTCTCTCACTCGCACTTGTTGTGAGTAATGAGTAGGGGAGTGCTTTTGCCGACGAGACTACCTTGTATAATTCTACCATCCCTGCATTACATCTCATCAGTAATTCATCAACGTTTCATCAACAGTCAAGGGGGTGCTGTTTATGATTCATCGATGACAGGCCATACAAACTGTTGATGAATTTAACATGGGCATGTCCTAGGCTGTCATCAATAGAAATTCATCAACAATAAATCGATGATTCATCGATGTTTCATCAACAATTCATCAACAATAAATCGATGATTCATCATCAATTCATCGATGTTTTATCAACAATTCATCTTCAATTCATCGATCAACTTAATATTGTGTGTGTGCCGCCAGTGCCGCCTCTGCACAGGAGCGAGCTTTCTGTCCCCGGCTTGCTCTCGCACTCCAACTATTGCCGATCTCCCGCTCTCGCTTTAACGAGGCAAAGCGACCGGAAGCTCGGTTTTACGTTAAGTTATTAGTCTCATGTAAGCAGCGAATAAAAACTGACGCTAAAAT